GCATAGGCTTTGTTGTTGGGAAGACCCTTTTGCCTGAACTCTGAATTGATGGAGTCAGCTGTGGTTTTCAGACTTTTGAAGTCCCATTGTGCAGTCTTTGATTGTAGGCTGCTGTAGGTACAAGTTACCAATCAGAGGATCTCACCTCCTGCTCTGCCCTACTCCGAGCCTGCCTTGGGGCCCAGAAGAAACAGAGAAACTTAGAGGAAAGTTGTTGTTGTTGTTTTTATAAAGAAAAAAAAGTGCTAAATAAATATAGTCAAGAAAAAAAAAAAACCCACAAAGTGGCAGCGACCAAAAATGAGTGTCTCTATCCTTTGAACCATCAAGTCTTTGTCAGGAGGTGAGTAACAGATTTTATTAGAGGTCCTCTTGTCACACGAGTGGTCATTGCATTGATCAGAGCTCTCAAGTCTTTTAAAGTTGTTCGTCTTTACAATGTGGTTGTTATTGGATAAATTGTTCTCTTGGATTTACTCAGTTCATCCTGCTCAGGATTCTCTGAAATCTTCCCTTTTGAAATCACCTCTTTCATCATTTTTATAGTGCAGTTATATTCCATTATGTTCTTATACCACATTTTGTTCAGCCTTTCTTCAGCTGTCCAAGACGGCTAAGGGCAGACTCTTAGATTTTAGTTCTTTTCTTTGTCCTCCCTCTTTATTTCTCCTTTCAGGATTGGAGAGTTTGATTTGCTTGGGTGGCTTTTCTTGGGAAAGTTCTACAGAAAAGGGAGAAAATTCTTTCTTCCTATAATAGATGTTCTGTGGGGAGATGGAGGTGAAGGAGGAGAGGAGAGGGTGAGGGGGGGAAAAGAAGACAGGGAAGGGAAAGGAGGAGAAAGGAAGAAATGAAAAGAGAGGGAAGGAAAGAAGAGAGGAGAGGAGAGGAGGTGGAAATGAATAGAGACAAAAGGGAAGAAGAGGGGGAGAGAGGGGAGAAGAGAAAAGAGGCATGAAGAAAAAAGATTGCCTCTGTTTCAGTTGGGATATGACTAAGATTTCAGTGCTGGGGGGGGATTCTTGGGTCCACAGGGCTCACCCCTACAGTGGTGCCCTCCAGGGCCACACAGAAAGCAGAGGCCCCACAGCCTGACTGAGAGATTTAAAGGGTTTCCCTGTTAGGAGCTGGGCTGTCTCCAGGGCTGGGCTGGTGCTCAGATCCTGGGAACCAAAGCCAGGGACTGCTGGAACAGCCAAAGAACCAAAGAAAGCCCCTCTCTATGTACCCAGAGAGGGGCCAAGTCTACAACTTCCCATGGCCCAGCCAGGGCAGGGCAGGGCAGGGCAGTTGGTGGCCAGTGGCCCCACTGCCCACAGCAGCAGACCTGACAGTCTGGTCATCTTCACCCCGACTGGGAGGTCAGGGCCCTGCAGGGTCTGGTGCCATTTCCTGTGATTCTCATCTTTCCTGCTGAGTCCCTTTCCTTACCCAGACTGCGAGCTCCCTGAGGCTAGGGCCCGAAATCTGCTTCTCTAGACTCCCTAAAATGAGAGTTGATTTCAAAGGGAAGATTACAGAGAATCCTGGGTAGTATAAACTGAGGAGAACCAGGAGAACAATTTATCCAATAACCTCATCGGAAAGAGAAGCTACTTTAAGTCAGTAGCTCACCTGTTCCTGTTTTTTGGGGTTTTTTTTGCTGAGGCAATCAGGGTTAAGTGACTTGCCCGGGGTCACACAGCTAGTGTCAAGTGTCTGAGGCTGGATTTGAACTCAGGTCCTCCTGACTCCAAGGCTGAAACTATCCCCTGCACCACCTAGCTTCCCTGTTCTGAAGAAACTTATTGGCTGTACAACGAAATACAAATTAATCTGTGTATCACTTAAAACACATCATGGTCTGATTTCGATTCTAACCTACCTTTGCAGACAGGGTCACACAACTCCCTCTCATGGACTCCTTGCTATCATCCTACCTGACATCTCCTCTGTCACCTCCACCTGGAATGATCTCCCTTCCTCCCGACTTCCTGGAGTCCCTCGCTCCAGTCACAGCTCAGCCACATACTCCTTCCTAAACAAGGCCACTTGCCTTTTCTAATCACCCTCTGTCCACTCTAAATGTTTAAATTGACTTTATCTGTGCACCTGTTATTCTCCCGCCCTCCCCCAAATAAAGCATGAGGGCAGACTCTCTTATCTATGTGTTTGTATTCCCAGATCCTAGCAGAGAACCTGGCACATAATAGATACCTCCCCAGTGCTTGTTGATATTCAATTGGATTTCAGCTGGAGGGAAGGTTCCTCATTTATCCCTCCTCAGTCTCTTCTAGGGCAGCAGGCACAGAATAAACGCTCAACATTTTAATGGACCTATGATCTCATGTGGCAGAACAGACCACAACCCACCCAATCCTATATGATTCTTGTCCACATCCTCCCATTGGAATTTTTCCTGCCAGGCAGCTCACTTCCCCTATTTCTCTTGATATCTTGGATAAGAATGGGATACACAGGATGTCTATTGGCCATCCCTCTCCCTCATCACATTATCTATTTTGCTCAATATTGATCCATTAAAATGAATTTCAACAGAAAACTTGGTAGGAATGCTGGATAGCTGCGTGTGGGAGCACCAAGTCAGTCAGTCACCATGACTGGACTGATAAATGTTGTTTTCTTGAATGCAGGGGACAGAATTGAGGGCTGAGGACAGAATCTAGGGGAATGTCTATGGTGATAGACTGATATCTACCAGGGTTCCTCCCTCCCTCTCCTGTTCCCCCATAAGGGTTAGTTTTTCCTAAATAGCAGCAAAGCTGTCCCCAGAACATGATTGGCTCCTGCCTCCCTCAGTCATGTAAGGGCATAAGAAAGTCCCATGAACATGGACTTGGTGGATGCCTGAAGATTGCAGGAGTCACCACACCCTGCCTGCCTAACAAGACATTTCATTTCCATATGGTGCAGGATGGGAATGGAGAGTCTATAGAAGGTAAGGACCACTCTCTCTTTGTTGAATAATCTTCCTACATCAGGGCTAAGTAAATCTCATTTTGTAAACTATTAAATGGTTTATGAGTACCGCATTTCATTTCAAAATTGAATCTGAACTAACAAGGTCTTGGCATCAGGGGTGCTAGCCCTAACACCCACATTTAGGAGTAGGGATGGAAGAGCGATCAAGGAGGTAGAAAAACCAAAAGAGCTTTGTCAAGGAAGATGAGACTAACCAGGAGGAGGATGGGAACGCTAGGTGGCACAGTGGACAGAGCACTGCAGTCAAATCTGGCCTCAAACACTTACTAGCTATGTGACCCTGGGCAAGTCACTTAGTCCTGTTTGCCTCAGTTTCTTCATCTGTAAAATGAGCTGGAGAAGGAAATGGCAAACCATTCCAGTATCTTTGCCAAGAAAACCCCAAATGGGGTAATGAGGAACTGGGCATGACTGAAAACACTGGGATAATTCTAGGAAAAACGGGCTGAGTTTTGACCCTAGACTTGGCCTTGGGTGATCTTAAAGTGTCATTTCAATAGCTCAGTGAGGATGAGATGGCAGTCAGATTGGAGGAAGCTAAGGAATGAATGAGTCCATGGTAAGGCAGTAGGTGTATGCTGAGAGCATAGCCTTGGATCTGCCACTAAGTCACTGGGTGCCCCTTTGGCTTCAGTTTTCTCTTGTGAAATGAGGTAGGGTAAGGACAGGGTTCTAAACCTGGCACTTGTGAATTTATTTTCTTAATATTTAGATACCTGGATTCAATGTGTGCTTTTAACAACTGACTCAAAAAACAAACAAAACCCAAAACACCCACCACCACTTTTTAGTTTAATCTGCATTGTTAACATTTTCTCCATCACTTTCTTAAGTCTAGAAATCAACAGTAAATCAGGCCAATTTATAGTGTTTGCTGATTTCCAGAGGTGTAAATGCTCGCATTGAAAATTTAACAATGAGCTCTCACAAGCAGGTTTGAGCTGGCGCTAGTACACACCCATCTGTATTTCAAAATAATTGGTTTTTTTTTGGTAACCCTAAATATTTTACGCATTTAAAAACATGGTTCTGAGAAGTGGTCCACAGGCCTCACCAGACTGCCCGAGGGGCTACAAACTCTTGGCACTTTCTGCCAGGCTTCTCATTGGACGGCATTTAGGCAGTTCCCCATCACTGAGTCTTCAAAGAAAAGGCTGGAGAGGATTCTCATTCAGGTAAATAAATCCCTCTGGTGATCCTGCCAATTGAGGTTCCATTAGAGACTTAAGTAATGACTTTGGCATTTCTCCCCTGCCTCTATTATGGAATCATAACAATTCCTGGCTCTGCCTTAGAATCAGATAGGGCAGGGGGAAGCTAGGTGGCATAGTGGATAGAGCACCGGCCCTGAAGTCAGGAGGACCTGAGTTCAAGTCCAGCCTTAGACCAAACACTTGACATTTACTAGCTGTGTGACCCTGGGCAAGTCACTTAATCCCAGTTGCCTAAAAAAAAAAATAAAAAAAAGAATAAAAAAAGAATCAGATAGGGTAGAAGGGAGCTAAGTGGTACAGCGGATGAAGTGGAGGACTTGGAGTCAGGAAGACCCAAGTTCGAATCCCATCTCAGGCACTTCTTAGCTGTGTGATCCTGTGTTAAGTAATCTGAACATCCTTGGCCTCACTTTCCCAATATGTAAAATGGAGATAACAAAACCTACCTCAAAGAGTTAGAGGGAGTCTCAAATGAGACTCCCTCTATGTAAGGTGCTATATAAATAATATCTATAATTGGGTGCTATATAAATGATAGCTAATATAGGGTGCTTCTGCAAACAGCACCCTTGAAGCTGATTTATTTGTGAAGGGGGAGGGAGAGTGGGATGGCACCCAATGAGAAGCAGAGGGGGAAAAAAATCACTAGATTTGGGATCAAGGGACTCGAATTCTAGTCTCCTTCCTGATTGTACCTCATCTCTTCTCTAAGGCCCCTTTTAGTCTTTAGGCCCCATGATGGCCAATGGCAAAACTCCCCACCTTTTCCTGATTGGGCCCAAAAATGACACGAGAGAAAGAAAATGAAGCTTAAACCAATTTTTATTTTATTTTATTTTTTGGTAAAAGTTAAAGTTTGCCAGGTTAAGAAAAGCAGAGTCTGCTGTGTTTAGTGTTCTGACGCCTCTGACAGCAGCCACCGATGGGTACTGCATGTCTCAAATAAACGTGGAATTGCCTACAGAGAGTAAGCCATCCCAAATCTGCCAACTATATAACAGTGGAGAAAATGATTTATGGCACTTGTCTCCCAAACTTTTTAAAGGTAACAGTCCCGGCTATAAAACTATATAAGCATTGCATAAGAAATGTTAAGTCTACAGTAACAAATACAATCTTGTAAAAACTCAATAAATTATATATATATATTTATAATATCTAATAACATTTGAAACCATGCGCACGATTGTACATTCTCCTCTGGTGCTGGACGTCACACTCTGTCCGTCTGCGGAATGTACGTGATTAGAAGACATTTGTAGGAAAATACCATTTTTTTCTCTCCCATTTGAAGTTCCCCAAACAAAACCAAACCAAATGTCCCCCCTATAGAAATCTACTTTCTCTGCAAAATAGACCCCAAATTAAAAAAAAAAAAGAAAGAAAAGAAACCTGCTTCTTGGCATCATCTTTAAACTATAAATTATTTTTTTAGACTTTAGTTTCCAAGAAATTCTGAAAAGAGGGAAAGAGTACATAGTCACAGACCAGGACTCTGTTTCCTTTGCTTCATCATGAAGGAACTAGCTGGGTGGTGAGGGAGGAAATTACAGGACACACTCAGAAATGCCTCTTGTATCATCCAGAAAGAGTTTTAAAAAAAAAAAGCCAGGTTTCCAACACTGACCTATCTGTCTCCTAACTGAGTGTGTAGTTTGCTGAGGGCTGGGGCACTCTCTGGCTATGTCTCTGGGGACGGTGGGATGCTGTGGTCACATGTGAAATGCAGGCCATGCAGGGATGCTTGGAGGGCTGGGGACCAGTAAGTCAGGGGGCTGAGCTCTGTCCCCTTCATATCCAACCCAAACATTGGGAAAGGAAGCCAACACGCTTTGGGCCAACAATAATGAATATCTTCATCTGGCAGAAGGATTCATGACCTTCCCACCCCTCCAAAGAGAAGGAACAGAGAAAGCCCTGCCCAGCCCAGGCACATCAAGCCACACTGAATCCCACCAGCCTCAGTTTCCTCAAAACAAAATACAAGCACAGCCTCCCTCCTGAAGGCTGTCTCTGGGGGCTCTCGCTTAACTGTGTTGTTGCAAAAATAAACCCAAAACACCTCACTGCAATCCGGAGAAAAGTTGGAATCTGAAACAACACAGACAATCTCATGACATCTGTTCAGGACCGTGCACACAATACATTCGCTCGATGGTTCCCGTAAACATGGAAACAAAGGCATATACTTACTTTTGCAGCTGTTAATAAGTTAAAACTCTTAAAACTCTGGGAAATTAGGTTGACAGCAATGCTAGCATATTTTAAACAAAGCAGACGGAGTCCCTTCAGCAGGCTATAAATAACTTTACAAATATACAGGTTAAAATACAATTTTTAAAACAAAACTGTGACAATATAGAACAATAACAGCAACAACAACAAAACGCAATTTCTTTTTTTCTTTCCTCTTCTTATTTTTTTTTCCCCAAAGGTCCGGTATTTGGAATTGTAATGTTTACTTCTGAGGGCCTTCCATCCATCTTGCTTAAGGTGGACCACTATTGTACACTCTCCATATATATATTTTATGTACACACACCCCCGCACACACACAGATACACACACATACACACCCACCCACACAGAGCGTCTATTTATATGTATATACACAATTGTCTGGAATAAACCTTTTTTGATATAAATTAAAGGCTCCTGCCTTCAGGTACCCGTAATTTCAAATCTTCATGGGATGGGGGAAGGAGATGGGGGGGAGCTGACACCTGGGATGTTTCTCTTTAATACAGAAGACAAAAAGCCCCAGCTCCAAACAGCCAACCAACTAATCAGTCACACCCCTGAGGCAGGAATCCTAGTTCCCCCCAAAGCAACTCTAAACAGAACAGGAAGCCCGGAAAGAGAAGGTGACTTAGAGGATCATGGGATTTAGAGCCAAAAGGTATCTGAGAGATTGCTGATTCCGCCATTTTACAGAGGAGGAAACTGAGGTCCAGGAGGGGGATAAACTTGCTGAAGATTACATGCATAGTAAATGGCAGAGCCGGGCTTTGATTCAGATTTCCTTATCCCTCCAAGCCCAGTCAGTGTCTCTTTCACTACACTACTCTACCTCTCTTGACTTCTTAGTTACCCACTGAGGAAATATGGCACTTGACCCTTACTCTACTTCCAACACTGTCCTGACACTTACTCCAACATGAACCCTTGCCCTAGCCCCCTGCTCCTGCTCCAGAGACCTAGTCCTGAAATGTTTCTTGCTTCTGCCTCCTCTTTGTCCTAATCATGACCGGAGCTGGAAGAACTGAAGCAAGATAGATGCCCTTTGCCTCTGGCTGCCCCTCAACCCAAGTCGGACCACTGATCATTCCTGTTCCACATTGGCCAGACTTTTTGTTAATTGGGAGAAGAAGGCCACAAGGCCAAGACTGTCCCTTCGAGGCCCAAAGCCTCTCCTGTCCTCCATCTTTGTATACAATGCTTTCTCTCAAACCCAGAGTCACCCTCCAGTAGGTGGGACCACACCTGCACCCGGTCCCCTGAGGGGATATGGAATCTGCTCCCTCCAAATAGTCCTCAGTTAGACTGCAAAAAGGCAATCTCTCTACATTCGTTATGGAAAGAAAAAAAAATCCCCGACAACTACAACCCCAACCTACCTTCCTTCCTCTTCCAAACCTTCTCTAGATCACAGGAGTTGACCTTGTGGTCATTTCCCAGTGGAGGAAATGGGCCCAGAGAGGTAGTGACTTGTCCAGGATAGCTCAGGAAGTACAGTAGTAGAGATGGGGATCAAACCCAGGTTCTCTGACCACTGTACCACACTGCCTTTCCCCTGTTTTCCCCACATACCTCCCTATCCCAGAACCTTCAAAAAAATCTTCTCCACATCATAGCACAGAATGATGACTTCCAGTCTATCCCTTTTCCTTGGTGAGGAAGCGGGAGAGCTCACAACCGCTAGACTGACATTCTATTTTCATATATATATATATATATATATACTATATATATAAAATCTATATATATATATATACTATCATATAATCATCTTGGCAAGAGACTTTTCTTCTTTCAGGCCATACAGTGCTTCTTGGCTTCTTTCTACAGCAAAAATGATCCGGGGGAAAACAAAGTTTCGGTGGGCCAGGAGGTTCTGCTCAGCCTGAGCCCAGACCCCATCCTTCTGAATGGTTAGTCCCCTCTGGTTCCAGGCTTGTAGGCCTCCATTCTGGACGAGCTCAGCTCCCCACAGGCCCCGGGGCCAGGTCCGGGAGGCTATCACGTCCTGAGGGCGCCGTTACACTTGGGGCCTTTGGGGAGGCAGGGCTCCTCTGGCAGCAGGTCGTGGGCAAACACCGAGTCGTCTCCGGAGGAGCAGGTGCTGTGGCTGTCCTGGCAGGTAGGGGAGTACTGTTCAAAGGGAACAGACAGGTCCAGGTACTCCTGTTGGGGGAAGGGAGAGAAACAGAGTCAGAGTAGCCCTGGGAACTGAGAGATAACCTCAGCCTCCTTCTGTGGCACAGCCGGGATTAGAATGTAGGGCTTTTACCCCAAATCCAGAGCAGAAAGGGAGCAGGTGGTTTCCACCTCCCACCCATATCTATTTGTCTCTCCCACTTTCAAATATGATTCGAAAAATTCATTTCTTTTTTTCTTTTTAGGCAATTGGAGTTAAGTGACTTGCCCAGGGTCACATAGCCAGTAAGTGTCAAGTGTTTGGTCAGATGATTCAAAGAATTCAGAGGGAGAAGAGCTTAGCTGACTTAGCTCCATATTTATATGGCTAGCATTGTTTGTTTCCAAGAGGACCCAATGATATCTCTTGACTTGTGTGAATTGAATGGGGCAGAATGGCACAAAGTCTTCAGCCTCCCTCTCTTTTCCAGAGTCATTCACGTCCAGTGGCAGGACAAAAGTCAAGATGACTGGCAATGGCCTGAGATGTTTATATACAGATATGGAAACTGAGGCCCAGAGAGAGGAAGTAAGTAAATAGCAGAGTTGCGATTCCAACTCAGGCCTTCCAATTCCAAATCCAGTGCTCTTCCTATTGACTGCAGCAGTTCAATTTAACATAGATTTATTAGGCCCCAACTATGTACAAGGCCCTGGGTGGGATGCTAGTGACTCAGAGGTGGAGAGGATGGGAGCCCTGCTCTTGAAAAACTCAGTCCAGTAGAAAGATGAGATGGGGACCCAGTAACAATGATAAAAGAGTAGAAAACAAATGGGGAAGAGGTCAACCCAAATGACCTAATCCATGATCCAAGGACGGAAGGCTCATGACTCTTTGGAGGGGAAGAGGACATAAATCAGGGAAGGCTCATGGAGGAGAGGATGGATATCTGAGCTGGGCCATGAAGGAAGACTGGAATAGACGCTGGCAGAGGGTATCAGCCTGTGTAACAGCCTGACACAGAGCTGGGAGGCTTAGTGTCTCGCCCAATTTGAATCAGCTGACGGCTCCTTCTTCCTCCTCTGATTGTCTAAGCAAGGTGTTCTGAACCCTTTTTGTGTCTGTCACCGGCCCCTTCAGTTGTCTAGGGGAGCCCACAGACCCCTTCTAAGTGTGATGCTTTTAAACACATAAAATAAAATCTATTACAAAAGAAGCCAATTCTAACATAGAAATATGTTTTGTATGATTTCACGTGTATAATGGATGTCATATTGCTTGTCTTCTCAATGGGTGAGGGAAGGGCTGGAAGGAGGGAGAGAATTTGGAACCCAGAATTTTAAAAAAATGTTAAAAAACAAAGGAAGCCAATTCTATTTAAGTGAAGATGTTATCCTTGCCCCCCCCCTATTCATGTACTCCTTGGGGGTAAAGTCCTGGTTTAAGCCCCCGCTCCAGATTCTCACTTCCTTTGGGAAGCCTACCCTAACCACCCCAGGCCATGATGCCTCCCCCTCCTCTGAGTTCCTCAGGACCTCTGGAGCACTTAGCACTTGCTGCCTAACTGTGTTTTCATGTCCCAGGCAGAGCAAAGGTTTTCCCCACACGGGAGGGATTGGATTCCCCATGCTCTGCACCCAACCTGCACATGGGAGATGCTCATCCTTGAAAAATGACCATCCACCCCTCGTTTACCTAAAGACCTCTAAGTGATGGGAAGCTCGCTACTTTCCAAGGTGGTTCAGATGTTTGGGGCTAGAAGGATAATGAGCAGGATGGCCAGAGAAACTCAAAATACGATTCACTGAGCCCCCTAACCCAAAACAGACCTGGGGCAGGGGAAGAAGGTGAGGGAACCTCCATCCCGTGATCCTCAAGAAACCTTGGCCACTTACATCTGTTGATGTGACTGTGAGGACTCGATCCAGGTCTTCAACCAGCTGCTTGAAGGTGGGTCTCTGGGATGGGACCGCATGCCAGCACTCACGCATGATCATATATCTGAGGAAATAGGACAGGGAGAATAAGAGTGAGAAATAATGGGGGCCTGGTGGTTTCAAAAGCACCACATGTGCTCAGTAATAGATGGGCCCACTGGGGAGGTACCTACAAGATAATCCAGTCCAAATGCCTCATCTCACAGAAGAGCAAACTTCAGACCCAATCCCAAACCCCGTACTGGAAAGACACACAATGGCAGGCCTGGGCCCTGTTATTTTTACAGAGCCAGCAAAGTACCATGGACAGTGACCTGGGGTGGGTGGGTGGGTCTCCTTTTTAGACAACAGAGTTACTGGATGGCATCATTGACACCACTGACTTTGGGTCCAAATTCTATTTCTGACACTTAGCCCTGTGTGACCTTGGACAAGGTACTTGACCTTCTCAGGCCTGTTTTTCTCTGCTATAAAATCAAAGGGTTAGACAAGATGGCATCTGAGTTCCTCTCCAACTTGAGAGCTACTCAAACAAAAAGCACTTAGTAAGCACTTACCCTATGCCAGGTGATGTGGTAAGTGCTGAGGATATAAGGAGAGGTGAAAACAGTCCCTGCTCTCATATTCTAAGGGGTCTTTCCTCCATTGTCCTTTGGGCTATATTCAATTTGGATGCCTCAGAAACTGTACTGCACTGCGATTCTGAGTCATAGAAAAAGCACTAGAAGAACCCTGTCATTCCAATCTAACTTCAGGGGATTGATGGTGATGCATATCTCTCTCTCTTTTCAACAAAGAGGTGGTGGACTGAAGAATATATTTTCACACATGGCCGATATATTGTTTTGTTTAGCTTAAACATATTTCTTTTTACAAGGGGAAATTCTACTGTGTGTGTGTGTGTGTGTGTGTGTGTATGTGCACGCGCCCATGTGTTTCTGTGTGTATGAGAGAGAGAGGGAGGTAGTCAGAGAGAAACAGAGACATACATAGAGATCAGAAAGTGACGTCAACATTTTTTTTTAGAAAGGAATCAATAAAACATCTTTTTTTAAAAAAGAATTAATGGTGTTTAAAAAAAAAAGATAGGCTTTTGTTTAGGGAATCATTTTAGGATTGTTTAAAGTGCCTTCTCTTCTCTTTCCACTCACAGACATTGTCCACCTGTCCAGAGTTGGCAAAGCTGCAAAGAGTCACGTGGTGTGCCAGCATCTGGCCCAAGAAGGCTATAAAGTAAATCATATCCCACATTGATAGTGGGGGCTCTGGGAGGCTTGGGACCGGGCAAAGACTCTGTATGGCCTAAACTGAAGATTAGTCAGAGGTGTGGTAATTTAATGGGGCAAGACTCAATCAGGTGGAGAAGAGAAATACATATTGAGAACATCAGTGGTGCGAGGCAGGGACTGAGGGCTATTTTTCATTTTGACTTTGTGGCTTGCCAGGGCCAAAGAATCTCTCCCTTGGTGGGTGCCCTCCTGGTTAATAAGCCTTTCTGCACTTCACTAGGCCGGTCCTCACACAGCAGACACAAGCCTTTCTAATCTAGCATGCTCTCCATTGTCATAGCCTTCAAGAACCCAAGACTGGTTCCACTATGGGGAGGGACTGGAGTAATGGAGTGTGATCTTCTACAACCAAACCTAGCATTTATTAAGCGCCTACTGTGTACAGGATACTCATAGATACAACAAGGACCCTGCTTTCTTGGAGATTATAAGATAATGGGGGAAAAGATAAATAATTACGATGTTAGGGATAATCATATGAACTTAGATTTGGAGTTAGAAGGGACTTTAGAAGCTATCTAGCATTCTACCCCCACATTTTACAGATATGGAAACTGAGATCCAGAAGTTAAATATTTTGTCCAACAGTGGCACAGCCTGGCTTCAGACCCAAGTCCACTGACTCCGGAGGGAGAAATGCCCATCCATATAAAGTTCTATGAAAAATCTGGGGAAGGAGAGATCACTTTTGCTGGGAAAAGTAGGAAAGGAAGATCGGGAAGGGTTTCATGAATGAGGGGACACTTAAGCTGGGCTTCAAATGAAGGGCAGGACTTCCAATGACTCAGATGGGAAGTGAGGGAAAGGGGGAAAATCCATTCTAAGCATGAAGGGTAGGAGAGACCGAAACATGGAGAAAAAGGGAGAGCAGCCCATTGGAGCTGGAGTTTGGGGTGTGAGTAACCCCGTAGGTAAGACAGGTTAGAGCAAAACTTAGAAAGGCTTTGAATGGCAGTTTATCCTTCATTTAACAGGTATCAGGGAAGGTTTTTCAGTAGAGGAAAGATGGAGGGACACGTTTGAAAGATTACTTAAGCAGTATTTGCAGGAGGGACCATAAGGTTGCTAAAAGCAGGGAAGGGGATGTTACAAGAGTCCAGGCAAGAGGAGATGATAAAGGTCTGAACTAGAGGTGTGGGGACTTGATGAGCCTTTTCTGAGCAGACTGCTCCCCAGACACAAGTGAGGGAGGGAGAGGCCCAGATCTCAATATACTGACAAGGAAGGGGCCTCATTCTGGAGTCACTGCAACCTGGTGGAAGGAGCCAGGACGGGCAAGGTGGAGGAAGAAACGGGAAGACGGGAGGACCGAGGAAGAAAATCTGGACTGGCCAGTTTGGGAAAATGATTCTGGCAACATGGCAGGTAAGAAGACAGGAAAGAAACTGGAGGAAGGAGAGGAAGCAGGGGCTAGCCTAGTAGGCCAGGGAAGCCAATGCAAGGGCCTGACTGAGGCTGGCAGGAGAAGGACAAGTCCTTCCCTATTCTGAGTCTCATTTTCCTCCATCTATAAAATGAAGATGGAGGACTAGATGGAATGTGAGGTCCCCGCCAGCTCTAACTTCCCAGGACCTTAGTCTTGCTCCACCTTTTATTTATTAGCTGTGTGACCGTGGGCATATCACTTACCCTTTTCTGGTCCCTGCCCTCCCACCCAGTAAAAAGAGGTGCTGGACCTGAGGTCTCTTCCAGCCAGGTGTGTGTGTGTGTGTGTGTGTGTGTGTGTGTGTGTGTATAATACATATATAATATAATATAATATAATATAATATAATATAATATAATATAATATAATATAATATAATATAATATAATATAATATATGTGTGTGTATATGTATCTATGTATGCATACACATATATACCCATATGCACACATATCTGTATGTGTGTATATATGTACATATACACATACACATACACATACACATACACACATATCACTTTGTTCTCGCCTGGCACGTGCCAGCTTCCTTGGCATTCACCAATTATTATTGGTGGTGGTGGTGGTGGTCTTCTTTTCAGCCTCTGCTCTGCTGATGACTTTCTTCCCTGGACCTTCTATGCATTCAAGCTCAAGAAATGTTTATAGAGCAATGCTTAGGGTCTTGATGGGATGGGGCAGTGGGCAATGTATGCACACACACACTTTTAAGTTCAATCTGCCTCATTAATACTTTCTTAATCAACCCAACAATAAATCAAACCCCAATTTGTCATAATTGCCAATTTCTGAAGTGTAAACACTCACTCTGAAAATTTAACAATCTTGAGCCAGCTCTAGCACCCCGCTTCTTTCAGCTGGGTATAACCCTCCAGAAGTCCATGGACCTAGTGTACGTAAGCTCTGGGCAAGCCTGGGAAGTGTGTGGGGGTAGAGGTGGGGCAGGCTTCTGCTGAAGGAGCAGGCATGAAATCACACCTTGCAGGGCTCCCTGTGCCAGAGTGAACAGGTGCTTGTCTCTGAGGTCTGTACTACAATAAGCCCTTTACACACAGACCTCCCAGGACTCTAAACAGACCACACACTGCTCCCTGGTCCCAGCCTGCCCAGGGCTTCTCAGATTCCAAATCCCTCAAGGAGGGGAGGGGAGGAGAGGAGAAGAGGAGAGAAGAGGGGAGGAGAGGAAAGGAGAGGAAAGGGGAGGAAAAGAGAGAGGAGGGGAGGGGAGGAAAGAGGAGAGAAGAAGAGAGGAGAGGGTAGGGAAGGGGAGGGGAGGAGAGGAGAAGAGGAGATGAGAGGAGAGGGTAGGGAAGGGGAGGGGAGGAAAGAGGAAGGGAGGAGATGAGAAGACAGGAGAAGAGAGGAGAGGAAGAGGAGAGGAGAAGAGAGGAGAGGGTAGGGAAGGAGAGGGGAAGGGAGGAAAGGGGAAGAAAAAAGAAGAGAGGGGAGGGGAGAGGGAGACAGGAGAGAGAGAGAGAGAGAGAGGAAGAGGAGAGGAGAGAGAGAGAGAGAGAGGAAGAGGAGAGGAGAGAGAGAAGAGAAGGTCCTGATTATAAGTGACTGAGAGTAACCCTGGGCTGGCAGAGTCTGTCAGCTGCATACTGAGTGAGCCCGAGCTGGGTAAACAATCTCTTGGCAGGAGCTTCTCCAAAGGCTCCAGGAAGGAGCAGAGGCTGGGGCAGGGCACCATGAGCTTGCCTGCTATGGTATCCAGGCTGCTCAATGGTATCCCGCTTCTCTCTACCACCCCAGGGTCACTCTGACGGCACTTAATAACACTATGAAGGTTTGCAAAGCATTTTTACATCTATTATCTGATGATCACATAACAGCCCAGGAGACAGGTGCTATATTATTAACCCCACTCTACAGATGAGAAAACCGAGGTTAAGTGATCTGCCTAGAGTCAGACGGCTACTAAATGACCAAGGCAGGATTCAAACCCAAGCCTCCCTGAGTCCACGTTCAGGGCTCTGTCCGTTGTATCCCACTTACAGATCATGGGTGCAGTTGGCCGGTTTGTCCATCCGATGGCCCTCTTTTAACAGCTTGAAAAGCTCCTCCACAGGAATCCCGGGGTACGGGGAGCCTCCTAGAGTAAAGATCTCCCAAAGCAGGACACCAAAAGACCAGCTAGAAATAGGAAAAGACACACAAGTAATGAATGAATGAATGAATGAATGAATGAATGAATGAATGAATGAAAGTTTATGGGGGGTGAGGGAGGGAGAAGGGCTGTGAAAACACTGGGAGCGATTCCTCCCTCTCTCTCCTTGGCCCTGCTCACAGCTTCCCTCCTTTCCTTCTCCCCCGGTCCCGTCCTCCTGGCCCCCCTTCCGTGTCCGGCTTTGTTCCCGGGCAGCCTCGCGTGGCTAACAGAGCTATCAATGGCGTGACTGGCTGCCCAAGGCCGCTCCTCGGACTTCCTCCGAGAGATCTCTCTGCTGACCCAACTCAATAGCAAGGATCCCACCCGGGCACAGTCTGAACCAAAATGAGCATTTCATCGGGGAGGTGAGAGCCAGCTACTATCCCCAGTTCTTTGTCAATTTCCCTCCCTCCCAGGGCCACCCCTGCCCCCCTTCCCCAACTCCAGAGGACAGAACAAACCTAATTATCTATGCCCAGCTTCCCGCTCAGGGCGGGCAAGCCAAGAGCCACAGGCCTCTCCATGCAAGCCGATACCCAAGCTCGCCTAGAGAAACCCCCCGGACCCTCCCTTCAAGCCTTGAGAACACTGTCCAAAGTGGGGGCTGCAGATATGGCCCAATAGCTCTGGGACTGAGCGCTTCAGGAGGTGGGTTAGAGGAAGGCTTTTGGGAGGGAAAAGGAAGAAATATGATAACTAGCATAGAGCGGAAAGAGGACCTGGATTCAGATTGTACCTCTGTGTGATTCTGGGCAAGTCACTTATCAATGAGTCTCAGTTTCCCTTGTCTGTAAAGGGGCTGGACAAGACGACCTGGAGGCTTAGACAGCCAGGTCTAACATCGGCTGGATAGATAACCTGGCCTCACTGAGCTTGTGGCTTAGATCCAAGGGTGGGGAGACCCATTCCCCGAGTTCACGGATACTAGTTATAAGAGAATTCAACATATTCCTGAGTTAGGAGCCAAGGCCAGAAGGGCTTAGGCAGTGGGAGGGAGGCCACAGCCCAAAGGGTTGGATTCCGTTTCCTTCAAAAAGCCTTTCCTAGCTGTGGAGGCAAAAGATCTGGGTTCCAATCCTGGGCTGGCCACCAACTTCCTGTCAAATCACTTATTCGCTCTGGAGCTCCTGCTCTTTAGCTCCACGTCCCTCTCCCGCAAAATGGGGGTGATGCTCCCAACAGCTTCTTTGTACACGCAGAATGGGAAGTGTTATCATAATCCTAGCTAGCATTTATATAGCACTAAGGCCCGAGAAGTGTCTAGGCCTGCCTCTAGCCATAACTAGCATTCATATAGCATTTAAAAATTTTCAGAATGTATTACAAATAGTATCTCATTTATCTTCACAATAACCCTGGAAGGTAGGTGCTAGTATTATCCCCATTTTACCGTTGGCAAAACTGAGGCAGACAGAGGTATTATAATAATTATAATAATGATGATTGATGATGATAATTAACACATATCTCATTTCATCTTCACAACAACCCTGGGGCAAACATGGGTTAAGTGACTTGGCCAGGGTTACTCAGCTACACAGCCAGTAAGTGTCTGAGGCCACATTTGAACTCAGCTCTTCCTGACCCCAACAACAGCACTATCTACTGCACCCCCTGGCTGCCTAGGTCACCATGATACCCCCTAGCTGCCTAATTCCTATGGATGTATGTGTTGGGTCATGGCAACTCTTAATGATTCTCTACCAAGTCAGTGGATGGCTGCAATCCGTGTGGGGATGAGGATGGGTGGGAGGGCAGAATACTTAGCCAGTGAAATCAGAGACCCTCTAAGGATGGATATGGTAATGTCTTATCTTCTCAAAGTGCTGATATGTATGTGTGGAGGACGAGCCTTAGACCCTACCTCCAGCCTTGCCAAATGGCAGCATCTAAGGAGTGTTTGGGACTGACTGACCCCCTCAAGCCCTCGGGGTCTGTTCCACAGTGAGTCCCTAATGCTGTGTTCCTCCTCTAACATCCATCCCATACACTTTGGCCCTCTATCGTCCCACATTCCCTCCCAGTTGGGACGTTCCACTTTCTAGTGTTTCCCCAGCTCCAACATCCTCCGCTCCCAGGTTCCAAGGTCTCTCTCTGTCAGTTTCAGAGATCCCAGACTTGATGACTAGGCAATGCCTGACAAAGCTGCCGATGCCCGATGCACTGTGATTTTTGGAGGGGATTGGCTGGGAAATGCTTACACATCGCTCTGGTGAGTGTACACCCGGTCAAACAGGGCTTCTGGAGCCATCCACTTCACAGGCAGCCGCCCCTGGTATTAGGGAGACAAAAAGGAATGTCTCATCAGCACATTCAGGCCCGGAGGACCCCTGCCCCAGAGGCCCATGGGCTCCCAAAGAGAGGATTAGGACGCCAGGCCACGAGGCCCACACGGCTTAGCTGCCCTTTCATCAAGGACCCGTCTACAGACTTATTTTAGAAGGGGCAACAGCAGCTGGGGTATGGCTGTCACAAACATCTGTGGGGGTTCCTGGGGGCTGTGCCCCATGCTGTGTTCTTGACATAGTAGGTGTTTTTTATGCACCCACAGAGCGGAACTGAATGGGACAGATGGGAAGAAACTATGGAAGGAGGAACTTGGGGTGCTTAGCCTAGAGAAAAGAACTCTGGGGTTCATGGCAGTTATCAGGTCCCCAAACTGACTGGAAGAAGAAGGAGGAAACCCGTTCTCTTTGGCTATGGAGGAGGGGCAAAGGTGGAAGAAGAGAGGGAGATATAGCTTTAACCCTTGATGGAAGAAAAACTTTTGCTCTCTTCTCCTGAAGATCAGGTTTTGGCTTGTTGGTTCTAGAATACACAACTTTTTGAGGAAAAAAAGGGAAAGATATTTTGCATTTGACCTGGGAATGACAGGATAAATCTCACCTCAGAGGGGTGAGACCTGAGCCTTTGTTTTATGTTTTTAGGTCCAGATCACCTCTGACCTTCCACGTTCTAAGGTCCCTTCCACCTCTGATACTTCATATTCTAAGGTCCTCTCTACCTCTGATACTCCATATTCTAAGGTCCCTTCCACCTCTGACACTCCATATTTTAATGTCCTTTTCCCAGCTCTGATATTTCATTCTCTGTGTTCCTCTCCAGCTCTGACATTCCATGTTCTTTGTTCTGAGGTCCCCTCCAGTTCTGACACCCCATGTTCAAGATCCTTTTCCTAGTTAACATTCCATGTTCTAAGCTCCCTCCCAACCGTGACATTCTAGAGTTCTGAGTTGTCTCTACTCTCTGAGATGCTGATATTTTAGGATTCATTCTCCCTTGACAAACAAGGTTGGGGTCAAGAAGGAAGATTGAGAAGAAAAATGGGGTGTGCCCCCAGATGGCGATAGATCTAAGTTAGTATTCTCAGGTCATCTACTCACATTGGTGGTTTTCTTGTAGTAGTCAATATTGTGCACGTCCCTGGCCAGGCCAAAGTCTGCGATCTTCATTACGCTGTCTTCTGTTACGAGCACGTTGCGGGCAGCCAGGTCCCGGTGAATGCACTATGTAGGGAGGGAGGGGACCCGAGAATAAGCAAATGAACTACAGACATGGGGGGTTGGGGGGGGGAAATTTCAGAGAGGAGAGTCGGCATGAGAAGGGAGGTCCTAATTAAGTGAGATGCTGGCCTCATGCAGTTGCCTAGTCTGTAAGCTAAACCCCTGTGAGGCTGCTTTTGCTCATCTGGAGAATGGTCACAATTCTGCCCATTCCTTCTCTACCTCTGACAAGTACTGAAGGTAAAGAAGCTAATAAAATACCGTGCCCTGAGTGTGAGCCAAATACGCTCCACCTGAATGGCTGAGGTGAGACGAACCAGGATAGGTCCTCATACAGTAACTCCATTCCCTGGGATCATTTTCTTCCACTCACTGCAGGATTAGACCATGGTACCCACCAACCATACTGCTCTGGGCCGCCATGTTTCACCTGCTCCATTAAAGAGGATGCAAAGGCAACTTGGGTGAGGAGGCGTAACCAAAAAACAATCTCTCGTCTTCCCTGGACTAAGAATCAGTCTTGAATTTCAGTCTTATTTCGCTATGTGACCTTTAGCAAGTCCTGTCCCTGCTTTGCCTCAGTTTCTTCAACTGTAAAAAGAGGGCCCCAGATCAGACGACCACCAAGTTGCCTGTTCGTGCAGACAGTCTATGTTGTTTGTTCGAAGACCCTGTCCAGCTCATCTGGCCTTCATTTGATGGTTGCTTCCAGCTTGGACATTCTATGTTCTAGGGTCCCTCTTAGCTTTGATACTCAAATTAATTACATGATTCTATGGGATTACCTCATGCTCCTGCACAGAGTACTGGGGGAGATACTGAGTTAATTAGAAAAAACTTCAAAAGGGCAGTATAGTTCAGAGCAAACCAGGCCTGGGGGTGGGGATCTGAGCCCTTTTATATTCCCCTAGAGACAGGTATAGGCTCAGACACTTAGTGGCTATGTGGCCCTGGGCAAGTCACTTAACCCTATTTGCCTCAATTTCCTGTGTCTGAGGCCATATTTGAACTCAGGTGTTCCTGACTCCAGGCCCAGCACACTATTCACCATACCACCTAGCTGCTTGTATCACACAGCTAGTGTCAAGAAGTGGGATTTGAACCCAGGCCTTCCCAAGTGGAAAGCTGGAATTCTCTTTTGACTATGTCTGTCTCATTGCCTCCTATGTCAAGTGGGGTTCTTTCTGGGGTCTCACAGTTTATTGAACCCTTTCTTGGTGTGGATGACTGTCTATTGTTAGTGGGGAGAAGAAAGGATAAGCATCTGGCCAGATCCACATGGTTTACTCTACTTCTCTATTCTGCTCAGTTTTAAAATCTTTTTAGGGAAATGTGCATATACTGAAGCAAGAGCCCAGGTTGCCTTTCCATCCCATGGCTATGGATTGGATGGGTCAGGAGTTTTGGGACAATGGATTTGCCTGGGCTTCTCTACCTATGAAGTGGGAAGCCTCAGAGCTTCAGGAAGAGTTGACTTGAACAATAACAGCCCTGGATTCAGGCCTTGGCTCTGAGACTTATCTCTGGTGCCTTGGCCAAGGGACCTGACTTCTCATCTGTAAAATGGGGATAATGGCACTTGTATGGATGGCTTGCCTCAGTGGGGGGGAGTGTGAAGAATGTGCTTCATGAATAAGAAGAAAGTCATCATCTGATCTGTCTTTGGGGTGCGGAGGGGACCCAGGGCTCTCAGAGGTGATGCTCACAGAGTGCCAAGCTTAGAAAGGCTCTCAGCATAGGTCTGGGGATGAGCCACATGTCTGTCTAACTGTGTCTGGAGAAGTGTGCCACCCAAAGGTTAGTTACATCTTTTTTTAATTGCAGGAAGCCAGAAACATAAAATGTTAGAATGCGAAGGGCCTTCACGTAGTCCAACCCTTACATTTTACTAATGGGGAAACTGAGGAACAAAGAAAGGAAGTTACTTACCCAAGGTCACCCAGAAAAAAGCGCAGAAAGATAGTTGTGAAACTAGGTCTTTCTGTTGAGAACCCCTACCCCGAAGGGCAATGTGCACACACAAGTCCACACAGCGTCAGGCTCTGGGTCAGAGTGAAACATACTGACTGTGTGTCTCTGGGCAAGTCACAACCTCTCAGAGGCTTTAGGAAACTCTTTAAACTATACTTTTTTTAAAAATTATTTTTATTCTAAACTTAACAAACAGACAATAAAATAGGCATTTCCATACACACAGCAGCACATAGAAAGAGGCTTGTATATGAAACTGCAAATCTCTTTTATATACGACTTGCTTTTATTTTTAAGCATATAAGCTGCTCATCTTGCAGCTGTCCAAACTCCCCTAAGGCATAGATCAGCTGCTGACCTGCACTAGTACAGAGACTTTCCTCACCTGGGAGCTCCCTATCACCAGCCTTCCTTACTGGCCAACAAATGAAAAAAAAGCCACAAAAAACCAAAACAAAACACCTATTAAAACATGGAGGGGGTTGTGTAGGTGCAGAGAAGGCCCCTATTAATAACCATACACTTTCATAAAAATAACGGCTCTCATTCTAAGGGGCTTTAAGGAAGGTTTACAAAGTTCTTTGCCTTAGAACAACTCCACGAGGCAAGTAGGATATTATTACCCCCATTTAACAGGTAGAAAACTGAGCCTCAGAAAAACTAGCAAGTGTCAGATCCATAACCTGAAGCTAGGTGTTTGGACTCTAAGGCCAACAGTCCTTTGCAGGTGGTGAAAGCTGGCCAAGGCTGGTGGGCTTTCTGAAGGGGGTGTGTGTGTGTGTGTGTGTGTGTGTGTGTGTGTGTGTGTGTGTGTGTGTGTGTGTGTGTGCGGGCGCATGTGCTCTAGAAGGCGAGCCCCTGATTGGATGCCCTCACGGCCCCTCCCTCCTGCTCACCTTCTGGGAGGCCAGGTACTCCATGCCTCTGGCCACCTGGTAGGCACAGGACACCAGGTCCTTGAAGGTCAGCTGTTCTTCTGGAAGCTTGCAGGTATCGAAGGAGTAGTCCATCCCGGGGGGTCTTCGGGCCCGCAGATATTCACGAAGGTTCCCCTTGGATGCGTATTCCACCAGGACATAAAGGGGGCCTGTGGGGCCAAGGGGAGAGCGGTGTTATCCCACCTACGGAGATGCTGGCTTCACCAGGAGCAAGCCACAAGGTGGTTCCCCAGCCCAGGACCCTGGGGCTGGTCCCAGGATGTTCTGATGGTGGAGAACAGCAGTGAAATGCCCCTGGATGCAGAACACTGGGCTTGCATTTCCTAGATCTCAAGTGTTCTCAGGATAGCAGAATCTCAGCATGGGAAGGAGCCTCAGAAGGCACCCAGGACAACCTCCCACCCCCTGCAACAACCCCTCTACAATATTGCTGATGGGGCTATCCAGTGCCTACTTAGACCAAGAACCCCCAGGCTCAGAACCCCTGGCTTAGATAGCTTTAAGATGTAGATGCATTTAAAACCATGGTTCTGAGAAGGGGCCTGTGACCCCAAAAAGGGTAAGAACCCCTGGTTTAGATGGCCTTGCTGCCTTCTAAGGTACTTCCCAGATCTATGGTTTACAAGCAGCCTAACCCAGGATATGAATTTGCAGGACTGTCCCAGGGATTGGTATGGTCACTGAGTCTGCACCAGTGCCTCAGTTTCTCTGTCTGTGCAGTAATCAGAACATTATCTGCCTGTGTGTTCTCCCTTTTGGAAAATGAAGCACAGGGTGGAGGACTGGTGTCTGAGATCCCGGGAGGAGACTGGAAATGAGAGGCCTTTTCTGATGGGGATGCCTGGCTTCTGAAGGATGAAGGATGGGGGCAGGCTGGGGACCTCGGGCCGGCTTACCATCCTGCGTGCAGGCTCCCAACAAGTTAATGATGTTTTTGTGTTTTCCAATCATTTTCATCATTTCCATTTCAGAGACCAAGTCAGACAGGTCCTTGTCCGTGGCATCATCTAAGGGGGTAAAGAAGAAGAGGTCAGGCAGGCACCTGCCTTTAGGGTAAAAACCAATTCCATCAAGAAAAATCACAGTATAGCAGTTCTAATATGGCCATGCAGGGCTATGGTGGCAAATGTTTAACAATTGGCTCTCCAGGAGAAAAAATGTACCCACAACACACTTTTAAGTTGAATCTGCATTATTTCTTTATCACGTTCTTAAGCTTAGCCAATTCACAAAACGGTAAATCGAGCTCTGATTTGTAACATCTGCTGATTTCTGAGGTATAAAGGCTCACACTGAAAATTCAACAATCGCAAATTCAAGTAGGCTCCAGCACAATCCTGCCACCATGCTTGAGCTGGCAGGGCCCACCCCAGAGACCCCCCCCACCTCCTCATCATGTTCATCTGATTCAAACCTAAGACTCAAATGCCAAATAATGACTATAATGGGACATAGAGCTGAGGAACCTTGAAGGCTTAGCTTAGGAGAGGCACTCCTTTTCACATCTCCCCCCACCCCCATACTCAGGATCATCCTGCATTAGCAACAGGGCTGTAAATCTGGTGCCAATGGGGCAGCCTGGCAGGGCCACTGAGTGATCATTCATTCAGCTGCAGGGGAAAGAGTCCACACCTGCCTGGTCAGGTGCGTGAGGCCCAGATCCTTACATAAGGGTAGCAGCCTGGGGGACGCCAGCCATCAACCAAAGGACATTCAAAGAACAGTTCTGGTGTTCAACTTGAGGCTTCACTCATAAAACAAACTGAACTAATTGAGGTCTTCGTTTCAACAAAACAACCTGGCACCTCTCCTGGGTCTCTCTCTTTCCCACAATGGCAGAGAAGCCAACTGATTGGGACTCGGGTCAGAGTATCAAGATTTACCTTAGAGTCACAGACTCCTAGAACATCATGGAATCACAGTGGGAAGGGACCTGAGAGGTCCTCTAGTCCACCCCATACCCGAAAGGAAGCCCCTCGGTGCCCTCCCCAAGTGAGGCCTTACACCAGCATGGTATCCAAAGGCACTCTTTGCTTTCAGGGTTTTTTTGCCGTTACAAAAACTGTTGCTATGAAACTTCTGGTACATGAGACTTTCTTTTCTGTCTTTAAGCTCTTTGGGTTATATGCCTCATGGTGGGACTGATGTACCCCCAGATTTTCCCAGATGAAGAAAACCCCTCACGGTAGGCCCATTCCACTTTTGAATAGCTCCAATATTTGGTTGGGTTTCTCTTCCATTGAGTCTTAACCTCCCTCTTTGCAAGGTCTACCCATAGCTCTTAGTTTTGACCTCTGGGATCAAGAATAACTAATATTATTATTATCTCTGACCCCAGAATTGCAATAGTTTATGAGGTATTCAATATAAATCATATCATTTGACCCTCACATCAACTTTGTGAGGGAGGCATACTACAAGTATTTTACAGGTGAGGAAAGTGAAGTTCAGAAACGCCTTGCCCAGGTTCACCCAGCGCCTGAAATGGGACATGACCCTAGGTTTACTGACTCCAGGTAGTATAGCACTGTGCTACACTGTGTCTCCAAGCAGTAGACGCCCAATTTCTAGGTGACGGCATTCCAAATGCTTGGTACTGTGACGTCTTTGCCCCAAAGATAAGGCTGGCACATGAGTGCAATGGATGGAGACTTGTCAGGGAAGGACAAAGTGGAGACTATTAGATTGGAGGCTCCTTGAGGGCAGGGACTGTCTTTTGCCTCCTTTTGTACCCCCAGGGCTTAGTACAATGCCTGGTGCATTGTACTGATTGCCTAAAACCCAGGTCCTTCTGTCTTTAAGTCCAGAGCCCTTTCCAGTCCACTGCAGGGAGTTAACCAGAAGCAGAGAATCTATTAAGATGTCTTTCTGAACTCCTGTCATGGCTATTTGGTGCTATTCATTCATTGCTGACATTTTTTAACCATGGATATTCTGAGGCTGGAAGGGGCTTTCAAGGTCTCCTGGGCAGGGTTCCAACAAAGCATCTTCTGGGGAGCCTACCCAGAATGCTGTGGCCCAGTGATCTTACCCTCCCCAGATCACAGCAGCATTTGCTGTCTGCCTCACTCCTTGGGCAATTCATCACTACGCCTTGTGACATGGCCGCCATGTTGTTTAAGAGTAGTACTGAAGTGTGTGTGTGTGTGTGTGTGTGTGTGTGTGTGTGAGAGAGAGAGAGAGAGAGAGAGAGAGAGAAGAGAGTGAGAGAGAGAGAGGGAGGGTCCTGACTCTCCCCCTTCCTCCAGTGAGCCCCCTGAGGGCAGCATCTAAGTCCACTCCTCGATCTTCCAGGGGCCAGGGCCTTCTTCTCTTTCTCCTGAAGGGAGTTGAACAACCAGGGGAACAACTCCTTTAGTGCATTTTTTGGCCCTTTTTAAGTAACTTCCAGGAAAGGAGATGGTAGCAAAGTGGTGCCATGAGTTCAAATCTGGCCTCAAACATTTCATAGCTTTGTGACTGTGGGCAAGTCATTAACCCCATTTGCCTCAGTTTCCTCATCTGTAAAATGAGTTGGAGAAGAAAATGGCCAACCACTCTAGTATCTTTGCTAACAAAACCCTAAGATGGGGTCACAAAGAGTCAGACACCACTGAAAGGACTCAACAACAGGAAGGGTGGTCCAGAAGGAGGCAACATCTTCTATGTGTCCTCTCCTCCATTCCCCCTTCCCTTGCCAGGCACATTTGCTCATTTGACATTACCTTTCAACATCTTCACCGCCACAGTGACGGGCTTGTTGGGCTTGTCCTTATCGATGCCGATGGCTTCTGCCATGACCACCTGGCCAAAACAGCCTTCACCAAGAGGTTTTCCCAGGGTAAGACTAGAAGGAGAGAAAGACCAGTGAAGACATACTCCCACATGCTTGCTCCTTCCTACCCCCTGGAGTAAACCTGACTGTATTCTTGGAGGGCAAATCACTCAATCCCTCTGAGCCTCAGTTTCCTTGCCTGTAAGATGGAGATAATAATCGTGACACTCACTACCTTCTTCACAGAGTTGCTGTGAGCAAAAGTGTTCTGTGTCCAGTGCCACTGACCTGAGCTCCTGCTGCTGTTCTCACCCTTCAAGGCTCAGCTCCACCCTGCCTCTTCCATGAAGATCTCTCCTGTTTCTGAATACTCTGGAGTCTCCATCACGCAAGTTAACATCAAATCAACAGGCACTGCTCCATATTCTCCCTCCTTAATCAGACTATGAGCCCCCTGAGGGCTCAGAACCATGTTTTCTCTTGTTTCTCCTAGCATAGGGCTGGGTATCTAGCTCACACTCAGTGACCAAAGGAATAGTAAAACTTGTACACCAGAAGGCATGTAGTCCAGACCCCCTTGTTTTTTTTAATACCGATAACAAAGCCCAGAGGGGAAAGGATGCACTCAGAGTCACACAGTGACTTAGTGACAAGGCTCAGATTGGAACATGGCTCCTTACTCCCATTGCCGTGACTAGGGAGAGGGGTTGAAGAATCAGCGTAACTGCAAGGCAGGATGAAGAGAAGAGCAAAAGCGGGGAGGGGGAGGTCTGAGGCTGAGGGGCCCCGAAGCACTGACCGAGATCTGCACAGCTCCCACTTGGGGTCAGCAGGGAGCTCCAGCTCAGACACGTTGGCCAGCATGGGCCCCTCGCTGGAGGAGAGGCGGGCGATTCTCACCAGGGGGGTGTTGGAATTCATGGACGAGTTCGACTCCAGGGACACCTGCTTGAAGGGAGCAAATAGAATGTTATTGCCATGTGTTTTCCAAGCACTTTCCATGTGGCCAGATGGTCTTTCCAAGGAAGGGCAGGAAAAGGGAAAAGCAAGAGCGGCTTCCATCATGCAGTCCCTTGTAATGGGGACTCCCTACTACCAGCTGAGAAAATTCTGTCCTGGCATTCAAGGCCTTCCATGATCTGGCATGATTATGTCCAATCATTCCCTCCCATGCAGTCTATGCTCCAACCAAATTGGGTGCCTCTTAAGTCTTGTCCTCCAGCCCCCTTCTCATCCCATCCAAATATCTCTTGGGATCTCCAGCCTCTGACTTTCTCATGCTTTTCCCTACACCACCTTCCCCCTAAAGTCTCCCTATTCTTAGGGCCCACCTCAAGGGCCACCTCTTCCTCTTCCTCATTCATCTTCCCCAGGGCTGGGAATAATAACCCAGGCGATACCAATGGAAAGGGGAGGACCTGGGCTCCCATTCCAGCCCTTCCACCAGTGTGACCTCAGGCAAGGCCTTGGTTTCCTCATCCTTAAAATGAGTGGGTTGGATCAGATGACCTCCGAGGTCCCTTGCCGCTTTAAATTGATTCACGAAATGCAGGCATCACCTCCATTTTATAGATGAGCAAACAAGACACAGAGAGGTTAAGAAGCTTGGCCAGCGTCACACAGCCAGCAAATATCAGTGCTGGTGTTCAAAGCCAGGTCTCCTAACCTCAAGACCACTTTTCTTCCTACTACACCCCACACCCTAATGACCTTTCCTCTCTTGGGGAGTCCTGCTATCCTGTCCCCCAAACTTTGAATGGCAGCCAAGTTTTTCTGAGACAACCTCCTGGTCCCCTCTCTGTGGGTGGTCAGACCCCCCCCCCAAAAGGGCAAAGGTAGAAAGAACTCAACCAGATACCCTTTCCCCTTCCCCCACTTGCATTAAGCACAGAGGCTTGAACCCAAGCCCTAGAGTGAATGCATTGACTAGGTATAACAGTTCTGAGTCTGTGTGCCCTGGACACAGTCCATTGAGAAAGATGCTCAGGGTCATTCCTGGTGTGTGGTTTGGATGAGAGGAAGTCCCAGAATGCTGGGTTTTGGTTCCTTCCTAGGCCTGAGGCTGAATGGGACCTTAGAAGGCACTGGTGGGAGAGTCCAGGAATTCGAAGCCCCTTCTCCAGATTTTCCTAAAAACACTGTGTGGCCTTAACCAAGCTGAGTTCTTCCCAAGGGCCACAGAGATGCCTGGAGAGCTATCGAATTCACCTGAAAGCCTCCATACCCAGCAGGAACTCATACAACTATGGCCCTTCATGCCAGTGTGTGTGTGGGGGTGTGTGGAGGGAGGTGCCCGGGGCACTTATTTGTATCTTTGCCCTCTTGGAGTCTGACCACCCACAGAAGAGGGGCCAGGAGGTTCGGTCTCAGATAAACCTGGCTGCCTTTCAGGGCTTTCTGGGCAGGATAGCAGGGCTCCTAAGGGGCAGGGCCCGGCTTTTTTCAGGAAGTCAGTAGGGATGGGAAATTTTGTGCTCAGCAGACCAGAGACGAGCTCAAAGTGAGCATTTATCACAAGAATTCAACAGGAACTCTCTGAGCAAATGCTGCCAGACAACTTGCCTAGCAGATCGAGAAAATGGGCCGGACGCTTTGTAAGCCCCATGACTCGTCAAATGACCTAACGCTGCCAGGTGTTTGTGGAGAATGGTTTTATTACGTAGACTCAAACATTCCTGGCATTGCCTTGTATTCAACTTTGTGTTAAATGCTTGTTTGCAGAAACAAGGCCATTGATTTAGAACTGGGATGGATCACAGAGGACATTTTATACAACTGAGGCCTGAGGAAGTCTAAACACTCTTCCAATGTCACAGAAGCATCCAAGGTTGGATTTGAACACTCATCCTCTGACTTAAAAGTTAGTAGTTGCTCCATCTCACCATGATGCCTCTTCTATAGATTCTTCCCCTTTCAGGTATATGCTCCCTGAAGGCAGAGGTCATGTCCCTTTTCAGTTTCATGGTCTCAGCACCAAACACAGGCCTTTGTACACAGGAAATGTTTCGTATAAATGTGTGTTGAACTAGAGTGAACAGATCTCCTGAGGCCTGGCAAGCCTAGGGCTTGATAAATCCTTGGTGCCAGGTTACTGTGGACTCTAGAACTATGGACGGGTTGGTCAGGCCACATTTGGAGTACCGAGCTTTGTTTGGAGAACTTTGTTTTAGAAGAGGCATCGACAAGTTGGACACCCTTGCCCCCTCCCCCCTCTAAGAAGAGGGCAACCAGGCTGGTGAAGAGACAGGAAATGAGGCAGGCCCTTTGAGGATCAACTGAAGAATGTTTAGCTTGGAGAAGAACTGGGGATGTGAGGCAAGACAGCCATCTTCAAAGACCTAGAAGGTGGTCACGGGGAAGGGCATTTGTTCTGCTTGGCCCCAGAGAGCAGGACTAGGGGTTACCAGGAAGATAGATTTTGGATCCGTGTAGGGTAAGTAGGGGGGATGATTCAGTAGCACCAAGGCCTCTTTCCTCTGACCTGGTGAAGTCGGGACCTCTCAAACCATCTTCCTCCAGATGGTACAAAGATGTCAGATTTCAACATACCATGGGCACATGCTCTTATGCCAATTTTAAATATTAAGTCATTTTCTAATAATAGCTCCCATTCCCAGGGTACCTATAAGGTTTTCCAAAACTTTCCTCGCAAGGTGCTTCTGAGGTAGAGAGCATGTTGTTATGCCTGTTTTACAGATGAGGAACCTGAGTGAAATGACTTGCCCATAGTCACATAATTAATTAGCAAGAGTCAGAATTTGAACTCGGGTCTCTTAATTAAGTCCAGCACTCTTCCTACTATGTTCCCTGCATATGGACTAAATCTTATTTATCCCAGTCATCCATGGTTGCCTGAGGCTTTTCTTATAAATTTTTCTATTAAAAGCTAAAAAGAAATACATCTGGTACCCAATTCCAAAGCAAATCTGTTGAGTCCAGAATAGGAGCCTGAAGGCTCTGGCCCCAAGCCCTCTCCAGCCTTGGCAGGGGAAGGGAGAGGATGGAGGGGGAGGATGGTAGGAGGAGGGGCTCGGAATCTTGTATCTACTTTCTGTTACCTGTCGCTTCAGCGGGAACTTGGACACCTTTTGGACAGTGGGGGTGTTGATAGCCTTCTTGGAGGGCATCTTCAGCCGACAAATGGCGACCGCAACTGCCACGGCCACAATAAAGAGACAGAACCCAAGCCCATAACTGAGGAGGCCGGCAAAGATGCTGCCCGAGTCATCCACCTCGACCATTTCTTCAGCTGGGGAGTGATGGGAGAGCTGGTTAGGGGCAGAAGCAGCAGGGGGAAGCCCAGGGAGGGGTAGGAAGGGAGACAGGGAAGGGAAGAGGTAAGGGAGGGGTGGGCAGGGGGAGTTCAGATGCCTAGTGAGCAAGAGTCTGTTTTAAGACTTGGGAGCCCAGGACAAAAAGGATGCTCTGGCTGTGGCAGCTGAGTGTGTGTGTGCGTGTGCCTGTGCATCACAGTGTTGATTTAGAGCTTTAAGGAGCCTTAGAGGGAGTCAATCCCAACCTTCTCATTTTGGGGACGAAAAAAGCAGAAGCCTAGGGAATGCCCATGGAAACCAGCCCGAAGTCTCAAAGGCTTCAGGGGCTGAACTAGAATTCAAACCCAGATGACCTCTAATATGTCGGTTCATGTCTTTCCCAATTCCCGTTAACCTCCCCCAACGTATTCTGTCTTTAGCTTATCTGTACACAGTTGTTTGTGTATGTGTATTGTTTCCCTCTATTAGACTGTAAGCTCTCTGAGGGCAGGGACTGTTTTTGCCTTTCTTTGTATCCCCAGCCCATAGCACAATGCCTGGCTTGTACCAGACACTCAGTAAATGCTTCATGACTTGTTTCTATTTATATGTATGTTTGTGTTTTAGGGATCTCAGAGGCTATCCCAGTGCCTCATTTTACAGATGAAGATGAGTTACATAACGTGCCCAGGATGACACAGATTGTTAAGTAGCAGAAACAATTCAAATTCAAATCCTCTGACCACAAATTCAGTGCTACTAGACACAGCACAGTACGGGGAAGGAGCGCTGGGTTTGACATCAGACCTGGATTCAAACCTCTGAGCGGCTCCTTGATACCTAGAAGATCTAAGGCTGGCCAATTTCCCTCTCTATGCCTCAGTTTCCTTATCTGTAAATGAGGGGGCTGGACGACATGCCCTCTTCGATCTCTTCCAGGGCTGTGGTCTTATGATTCCTGTGTGGCCTCTTAAATGTTTGTGTGAGTTTGCACGTTGGTTTTGTCCCTGTGTCTGTGTGTGGATGCATCATAAAAATCTGAGGCTGGTGGGACAGACCCTCAAGGAGCATTTCGGGTGGGCCAGGACAATGTTCCCTGCATGCTCTTTTATACAACTATAGCTGGGTTTGCCTCTAAAAGTCAGAAGGAAACTTGTGTGCGTGTGTGCGTGTGTGTGTGTGTGTTGTTTTAAATCCCTAAATAAAAATAACTAAATGAGAAAAAGGTTTTGGGCAAAGCTTCCCGGGCCTGCTTTCCCAGACATTCCTTGGGAATTCTTCTATCCCTGCTTTGGAAAGGACACTGGTTCTAAGCAGACAGCCCCTTTATTAGGGGATTGGATTTGCCAAAGCTCATTTCCAAATACAGCATTAGGGACTACGATCTGAAACGGCCCTGACCAAGATGGTAGAGACTTGGGAGATGGCACGGGGAGGACGGAGAACGGGGAGCAGGGGGGAGGGACAGGGAGTCAAAGAGCTTGGAACCCCAGGAGGGCCCTAGGCACACAGAGCCAAGGGCCCCCACCTATGGAGCTTCCCCTGATTTGTGAACGGAGGCCAATTATACCCAGCAGAGCATCCACAGCTTCCCATGCTGTGAGAGCTTAGTTATGCCAAAGGAGCCAGTGGGGACGGCCCCCTTAGGACTCTCCCTAGGTTAACTGTGGGGACAGACGGGCAAGCATGTCAGGGCAAAGGGCCTCAGACACAGGCTACGCCACTGCTTGCTGTGTTTCCCGGTGACCTATATACTGTACAGGTGATTGTCTTTTACATATGTGGGCAAACAGACTGGGCAAGAGGGCCCGTCTATGAAAGCTGTCTACAGATCTGTCTCTTTCTGCTTAGAATCCTCAATAGGATCCCAGAGCAGAAGGACATTTTAGGAAATCACCATTTTGCAAATGAGGCGATCGAGACGTAGAAAGTGACTTCACCTAAACCTCACAGCAAGTCAGCAGCCATGCTGGGACCAGAACTCAGGTAGACTCATTTTATACCAGAGTCCATACTCCTGGGAGTCACTGTATGGTCAGGGTGGGAATTGGGATGGCTACATTATTAAGATATCCTGCCTTTTGAGGAGAAACACTGAGGGTAGTGCCATTGGTAAGGGAAGGAAGGGGAGAATTCTGTTCTGTAATGGCCAGTCCAGATGGGATTGGCAATTTAGGATCTCAATTTCCATTTCCAATTGAATCTGGTTTCCCCAGCCCCATGTACCCCACAGTACATGGCCAACCTTGAGAAGGTCTTGTTTCCAGCCCTCCTACAGGTGGCACTTTGGCATTTCTAAGAATCCCCCACTGCAATGTTCCCAACAGGAAAGAGAGGGGCCAGGCCCAGATGGAAAGCAGGGGGAGGGGAGTACCTGGGAGGACCATCAACCAAGCAGAGTGGTGCGAGAACCCAATAGAATTCCCAGCAAGACAAGTATACTCCCCCGCATCCTCAAAGGTGACATTGCGCAAATAGAGAATTTCTAGTTCCTTATCCGTGGTGTTAACTCCTGCCGTCTAGAAAGACAAAAAGACACACCGAGATAGGAAGGGCAGCAAGAGACAGAGTAGAGGGAGCTGCTCAGGTCCCCAGCACGCAACGCAGAAGATCATCAGCTTTCACAGGCAAATTGTCTGACACAGATGGAGAACCAAACCAAACCAAACCAAACCGAAAAGTAATTCACACGGCCCCATCTTCCCTTTCATTCCAGACCCCACTGGCAACCTGTAGTTGAAAGCAAGGGGTTCCCTTCACCAGGCATTTACTCTGTCCCACTAAAGCGGCAGCATGCAAGCAAAATCATCTCAATGGAAAAGTCACCCCACAATGTGACTGGGGGGTGGGGTGTTAGTACAGTGGCCTCAGGGATGAGCTAGGAGCTCAAGGATGGGGGTGAACTGGTGAAGAAAAGAATGGAAAGGCTCATCTGTCTCAGTACAAGATGGTGGGCCTCTGAGCTAGATGCCCCCTCATTTTATTGTTTCCTTTTTTGCTCTCTGGCTAGGCAGTGGGGTTAAGTGACTTGCCCAGGGTCACACAGCTAGTAAGTGTTATGTGTCTTGAGACCTGATTTGAACTCAGGTCCTCCTGAATCCAGGGCCAGTGCTCCATCCACTGCGCCACCTAGCTGCCCCCAACCCCCTCATTTCAAATGAGGAAACTCAGGGGATGGAATGTGTACAGCTAGCAAGTGACAAGAGTCAAGGTTTGAATCTCCAAATCCCGTGCTCCTTTCATCATGCTAGGCCACCTCTCAGGGGAGGGGGTTGAGGAAGGCCCACTTTGGCTAACACAGCCAAAGAACTTGTAACATACACAAAGAACAGTGTAGCATACATACACTGTTTGTAGCCTGAGGATCAGGCAAGGTGGGGAAGGGGACTGGACAGAGGCTAGAGGTGGGTAGAAGGAAGCTGATTAGAATGAAGTGAGTGCACATATTAACAATGCTGCTGGACCACATCTTTTGGCAGGCCGGACCCTGGCTCTGACCAGTGATTATGTTCTATTAATAATATAATCAATACGGTTAGGTGACCCTGCTCACAGGTGGGATGGAAAGCTCGCAGGGCTACTAGCTGGCATTCAGCCCAATGCCCCTCATTTTACAGAATGGCAAAACCCAAGAAGGGCAGTGATTTGACCAGAGTCACACAGCAAATGAATGGCAGAACCAAAACTCAAACCCAGGTCATTTAAGACCCCAGCTAACACCTACAACCCCTTTTACTTTGCCGTATTTTGACGGGAATGGTCACAAGCGTGCATTCCTAAGTCTAGCACTCATCATGGAAAGGGGATAAATTTCTAGAAAGAGAGCATGTTGAGAAGATGGGATGTTTCCGTGTTTAAAAAGTTCAGTCACTTTATTGTGGGAATTTTTCCATTGCATTCGATGATTGACATTTTAATCCAAAGTATATACATATATTATATATGCGTATATATATATATATACATTGACACACACTATATGTATAAATATACATAGACACACACATATACATAGCAAAGAATTAAGATTAAGCCATTCAGCACCAGATGACAGTGTGTAACCAAATGATTTTTTAAAAAACAACTTGATCAGTTTCTTTAAAAGGTTAAAAGCTCATTCCCTGCGTGTCGCTAAGGCTTTGGGACAGAGTCAGTCTACAGTTACCTGGTCTGGATTTGCGAATGTGGAGCCAAAATGGCTTTTCGGCTATGCCTACGAAATTGTTGGCTCTACAAAGGTATTCTCCTTCATCCTGTTCTGTCACATTGAACAGATTCAGGCTAGCGTCTGCTTCAATGGTACTGCTGACCCATGACTGCAGGAACAGACAGAAACCTGGACTTCAGTACACCACAAACACCAGCCACCGCTGGGCACCCCGCGTAATTTCTTCCCGAGCCTTTGGCTCTTTTCCCTGGCCTCGGTCGCACCGTTCACATCCCTCTCCTCCCTCTCCCCTTGCCCTCGCCCGACAGTGGCATCTGACATCATCTTTTCTGGTGCTCCTGAGCCTAAGAACTGTGGGAGGAAAATGATGTTATCAACACACACACACACACACACACATGCACACACACACCCCTTGGCACTAAGAGACTCACACAAATGTCAGAACTTGAAGGGACCCCCTTGAGAATTATATCATTTATTCCATCGGATCCCTTGTTCTACAGATGGAGAAACTGAGGCCAAGACTTATGTCAAAAGCCATATTCTATAAAGTATAGAATGACATGTGGTGTCGAAAGGGAACTCTGTACCAACAGATGAGAGAAACTCTTGTTTCCCGATGGCCCCGGGAAGATAAGTGCTGTGCTCCATCACAGAGGGGCTTAGCAGGGACAGGCGTCTGTGACCTGACTTGGCAAATACGGTTTCAATTATCAGAGCTCCAAAATAGAGTTTGGAAGACAAAATACAAAGTGCAGCAGCCGCCAGAGCCCAGCTGCTGGCTTGGCTTTTTCGAGCAGTTACATTTTCCACTGGATAGAGGACATTTCTTTTTTAAAAAGGGCTGCGTGGCGAAAGCAGAAGATCACACAGACAGATGGGCACCCAGAGCTCCCAGATTACATACCTCTCCCTCTGCCCTTTCCCCCTTTTTCTTCCCTGGGCTTTCTTCCAAGCAGGTTCCAAATCACTAGATAGATAGTTCTCTTCAGGGCTTTGGTGTCTAAACCTTATTGGGTCTTTCTGGGAGACTTCTGCGCTGCTGTATGGGAAGGGGAGCTGAGAGCCGAGGCAAACCATCTCCTCAAATTCTGAGGAGCCAGAAGCACAGCCATGGGAGGCAGACCCCTGTGCAGCTGACTCCTCGTGTAAACTGAGGGTTACAGAAGCAGTCAGCACCGATCTCCTCCTCCTCCTCTGAACATATCTGACCTCTGCTATCAAGGAGCCGAAGAAAAGATCTGTATCACCATGACACTCTGTTGGAGTCTAACTTGGGGCAAAGCTTATTTGAGTCAAATCTATGGAGTTCAAAATCCTTCCCCTCCCCCCCCGGAAACCAGAAGACAATCAGGCTGGATGTCATGGGAGAGGGAAGCACGCTGGTGGAAATGGACAGTGGTGAAGTCTCCCAAGGGCATGGCTGGCTTGCTCCAGACATCCCCACCAAGTGTCCTTTTCCTAATCCAAGAGTCCTGTCTGACTAATAGGAATGAGGCAGACTCAGACTCAGTCTGGCATGTAAGGCCCTCCACAAAGGCTTAATTATTTCTCTTGAGGCTCATACAGAGATCATCCTCAAACTGAGGCACGGGAGAAGAAGGCAGACTCCCTGGCGTAGGCGGCATGGGAGGCAGGCTCTGAATCATGAGAGGCATTCACAGTTGAGGGCAGGGAAGGGGGAATGAGAGAGCGCCGTTCTAGATTTAAGGGACATATGGTGAACAAAGGCAGAGTTAGGATAATGCAGGCCATGTCTGAGAGACAGAGGAGGGCAGTCATACGGAAAAGCAGGGTGGCTCCTGAGTGTGGAAGGCCTTGAATGATGGACAGAGGAGTTGGTATTTTACACTATAGGCAAGTGGGAGCCACCAAAAATTCCTGAGCAATGGAGGAAATGAGGTCAGAACCATATTTTAGGATCATTATATCAATAACCTGTATAGGTTATTGGATGGTTATTGTTCCTGGACGGGAAGGACAAACAATACTGAAAGAAGACCTGTAAGGAGACTGGCCCAAGCCAGAGGCGATGAAGGCCTGACCACAGGGAGGGGTAACAGATGCAAGAGAACAGATGGAGAAGGAACCGATGGGACTCAGTGGCTATCTGCTAATCCAAGGTGAGCAGGATGTAAACCTTCACAGATGAGGATAATCAGGCCCCTTGGAGGAAGGAAGTGAATTGTGCCAGTGACGGGAGAGAAAGTATTAGAATCCAGGCCTCCCAGTCATAAAGGTGCCATTATCATCCCCATTTTACAGATGAGAAAACTGAGGCAAACAGACATTAAGTGACTGGTCCACGATGACAGAGCTAGTAAGTGCCTGAGGCTGGATCTGAACTCAGGTCTTCCTGACTCGAGGCCCCTCATTCTGTCCCTGGCTCCAGCTAGCTGGTTTTGAGGAATGAATGAGATTATATTTATCAAGCCCTCAGCACAGTGCCTGGCACACAGTGGGTACAAAGTGTTGAGGATGGAGACAAATGAGTGCCTGCTCTGGAGTGAGAAAGAGGAAGGAAAAAATACTGTTTCTTCTCCGCCCCCCCTTTGTCCGGGACCTGACTACGAACCTTGAGGACAGTGACGTACGGTGTTCCATCAGGACCGTATTTGCTGCCGTTCACCTCCACGTGCTTCAGCCACTGGATGTGGGGCTGGGCATCGCTGTACACCTTACAGTGGAATTCCACGTTGCTCCCCACGACCACAGTCTGATTGGCTGGGAGGCCGGCCTGCAGAATGGGCCGATGTGGGGATCTCTCTGAAAAGAGACCGGAGAGGACCTAGCTCTAGACTTGTGTGGGCTCCCAGAGCCCTTCTCTGCTCACCTTGGGGACGCCTCTCCCACCCTTGCCCACTACTCCAAACACAAATGCAACCATCAAATCCACACACCCACTCAGCTGGCCAAGAAACTGAGGCTCGGAAGGCTCTAGGAGGCGTGACCAGGGAACGTCAGAGTGGGGGGCGAGACTCACCCAGGACGTCCAGAGTGTACGTTTGCTGTATGCTGCCGTACTTGTTCTCCACCACGCAGGTGTAGTTCCCTCGGTCCGAGGGCACCACACTCTCCATGACCAGACTCCACTGCTGGTGTCTCAGCTACAAGAGGGACCAATGGAAAACAGTGAGGGATGGACTGCGGAACATCAGAGCTGGGAGGGACCTCAAAAAGGAGACTCTCCAAGCTGGGGGGCGCTTTGAGGCCATCTGGTCCGACCCGCTCATTTTATAGATGACGTCCACAGACAGGAAGTGATTGGCCCAAATCAAATAGTGAGACTAGAACCCAGGACAGCCCAGCTCTGACTTGCCTTTGATGAAAGAAAATGGTACTTTGGGGACTTTCCAAATTATATCCATCCTTCAAGGCCCACCTTCTTCCCTGCTAGCAATGATTTCTATCTTCTTCTTCCAAGGGTGCTTTGTTTGATTTAAACATTAGATTTGGAACCCAAGGACCTGACTTTGAATTCCAGCTCTGCCATATACTATTTTTTTCCCCTTTTTAAACCCTAGGGAGCCCCCAGAAAGGAATTCCCTCTGCCAGAGCAGGTCTGGCACACCTTCTCTGCAACTTACAATCTGAGAGAGTTGCCCAGGTCACTGACAGGTTAAATGACCTTCCTCTGGTCACACAGTCATCATGTATCAGAGATAGGACTTGGCCTCAGATCTTTAGACTCCAAGTCCAGCTCTTTATCCACTATGCCAGTCTGCCTTTCCTGCCGGTTTAGCCTTAAGTTTTTGGTTTCATTTCCTCTATAAAATGACAAGCTTGGCCTCAATGATCTCAGAGGTCCCTTTGATGATGTTAATTATCCCACTTTGTATTCCAGATATGGACCATTTCTGGGCTCTTAGGGGCAAGGACTCTTTTATTTATCTGTCTTCCCCAAACAGCAGATGCTGTGGCTAAGGAAAGGATGCAGAGGGTACCAAACCCCAGATACAGTGTCTCACCTTAATCCCCCCAATCCGATGTTCTCCTTTGAACTCTCTGCCATTCTTCAGCCAGTAGATGGAGGGAGTGGGGTTGCCTGCAGCTGGACACCGGAAGCGGACTGTGTTTGCAGCTGGAACAGCGAGGAGTTTCTTATCCATTCGCTCAGGACGGGTCCAGTATGGGGCACCTGGAAATGAGGAAAAAAAAAAAAGATGATGAAGATCAGAAGGTGATGTTCTCTCCTCCTTCCATCGTACCAAGATAAACAGCTGAACCCTGTGACCTGAGGGAGTGAAGATGGAAAGGGGAAGAGCCAGAGACTTCATGGAGGGCGGAAAAACACATTGATCAAGGGACTGAGCTGCAAGAGAGCACAGAGCTCCAATCTAGTCTGACCCTTTCATTTTACAGAGGAGGGGACTGAGGCCCAGGCAGTGGAAGATGCTTGACCAAAGTCATCATCCAGGGAGGAAGGAGACAGCCAAACCAGGATTTGAACCCTGGTCCTTTGACGCCAAGCCCAGTGGTCTTCTGATCCACCAAGCTATGGGGAGGGCAGAAGTCTATTAGGCAGGGCTCCCACCCTTGGGAACCCCAGAAGCTGGCTGGGGAGTCTGCCACTCACTGACTGCGTAGCTTGGGACAAGTTACCTCCCTCTCTAAATTATAGTTTTCTTATGCGAGGAATGAGGAATCAGATTCGATGGTCTCTGAGGCCCTCTCAAGACTGGATATTCTTTGAGTCTGTTCTCTAGCATACTCTGATGTATAGCCTTAGCAGAAGGCTTTGCACAACTGGAGAGACAGTCAGGCATGAAATGCAGATAGAACATGGAATTGGAGCCAGAGCACCTGGGTTGGCTGGGCAAATCACGTTTGCTCTAGGCCTCAGTTCCCTCGTGTAAAATGAGGGCTTTTTTTTTAATTAAAAAAATAACTCTAACTTGGCAAACACCAAATAAAATGTCCATATACTTTGTAGAACAAAATAAGGAGTCTGTACATGAAACCGCAAATCTCTATTAGATAGAACGTGCGTTTCCTTTGAAGTGTATATTAAATTCAACATGTAACTTTCAAAGCTATCCTGCTTGTCTGATTCCTTCTTGTTCTATTCTTATTTATAAAATGAGGGCAGCTAGATGAAGGGCAGCTAGGTGTCGCCACAGTGCATGGAGCCTTGGACTTGGAATCAGGAAGACTCATCTTCATGAGTTCAAATCTGGCCTCAGCCACTTACTAGCTGTGTGACCCTGGGCAAGTCACTTAACCCTGCTTGCCTCAGTTCCTCATCTGTAAAATGAGCTGGAGAAGGAAATGGCAAACCATTCCAGTGTCTCAGCCAAGAAAACCCCAAATGGGGTCACAAAGAGCCAGATATGACTGAAATGACCAAACAAAAAGAGGAGATGACCTTTCCATTGACTTTCAGCTCTAAAATCTAACACCCCATGACCTTATGACTAGAATTGAATAGAAGATGAGGAGGGAGTATGTTATAGTAGGAAGAACACTAAATTTTGAGTTTGTGGGCCTGGGTTCAAATCCTGGAAATGCCACTTGGTACCTATGTGACCCTGAGCAAATTACTTAACTTCTCTGGGCCTCAGTTTCCTCATCTGTAAAATGAGGTTGGACTAGATGACCTCTAAAGTCCCTTCCAACTTTAGACCTATGGCCCTTATAATAGTTCTTTCCCACAGGGTTTTTAGGTTTACAAAGACCGTTAGCCCTTTCCTCAAGGACTAAATACCTACAGGATGAGGAGTGTTATCCCATTACACAGATGAGGAAACTGGAGGCTCACAAGTTAAGTAATGTACCCAAGGTCGCCTAGTCAGTAAGTGCCAGAGGCAGGCCCTGAACTCTGGGCCTTTGACTTCAAATCTGTGGCTTTTCCCAATGCACCACATGCTCTCCGGCCTCTTCCTCCAGCACACGTGGCCACCTCCTTCGGTTCCCCTCGGCTGCCGAGGCCTGCTGGGGCAGGCACCTGGATGTGGGGACTGAGAATAGAACAGAAGCCAGCTCCCCTGGGAGTCAGAGGCATGGTGCCCAGGGAGCATCCCAGAGAGCCTCCGAGCCACTCCCTGCAGGGGTGTGGCTATCCCCAAGCTGCTAGGGGGAGGCCACCTCCCTCGTGTTACAAATCGCAACAGCCAAGGGAGGCCTAATGTTTTACGGGTTTGCACACTTTTTAATATCTTCTCACGGTGCTGCTGGGTGTGCCTGGCCAACAGAATCTGTCCTGCTGAGGCCTCCCCCCACCCTGCCCCACCCTGATGGGCAGGAGGCTCCTGGCTCAGGCAGAGCACATCTTGTTAGAGAGTGGAGCCCAAGGGGGCGCTCACTCCATTCCCTGGGCAGCGGAAGGAGTCCCTGGTGTTAGTGCTCTGGGGCCCTTCAAAGAGAGGCTGATTGAGGAATTCCTGCGTCAGAAGAGAACCTTGCTGAGCTGGCTTCCAGCTTCCTCTCAGACTCAACTCAAGCACCCTTCTACACAACTGCCCTCAGCTGCTTAGTGCCCCCCAACTACCTTGTATTTACTATATTTGCATGCATATACATACAATATATACATACGTGTGCAAACATCTACATACACATATATGTGCAAACATGCAATAGATGTACACAAGCAATGTGCCTAAACACACGTATACACAACATGTATAAACAAATGCACATTGCACAATGCACACACATGCACACACACACAAACACAACGCACTCATATGTACACACATCTAAGCATACACATGTATGCACATACATACACAATGCTTCTAAACATATGCACAATGCACCCAGTGTACATGTGCACATGAATGTGCATGTGTGTGCAAAACATGTGTGTGCACATGTACAATACACTGTGTATATGTTCACACATGCACACAAATACTCATGGACGCATACTGTACTCTACATAAACACAGTGCACAAATATATACAAACATGTGCTGTCTCCCCCACTTAGAATGAAAACTCGGTTGAGGGCAGGGGAATTTTTCCTTTTATCTTTGCATCTTTAATGCCTGGCACACAAGCAAGTGCTTAATAAATACTTAGTGATTAACCTAACTATTATCACTAAGTTGTGTGGCTATGGGTAAGTCGTGGGAACCTTTCTGAACCTCCGTTTCCCCACCTGTAAAAGAAGGCGTTTAGACTAGTTGACTTTAGCATTGTATTCCTGAACCCATGATTCCCCAGGCCAAGTATCATAAACATGCCTCAGTTTCCCCAAACCACAGGTGATGATCCTGCTATTCCAGCCTAGCTACAACTACTCCCCTGCTCTCTGATCCCCACCCAGTCTTAGATGTGAGCAGGAGTGCTGATCTAAGCCTTTTTACAGCCTGGTTTTTCTCCTTGGACTTGGAGGCAGTATTGTCTTGTTCAGGACTGTCTCTGGATTAGGCAATATTCATTCGAGGGTCTGGAGGAGGAGCTGCTGTGCGCTCCATGTTGGTTTCCAACATCAAGAAGTTCAAAGAAACACCAAGAATCTATAGCTGGGGGTGGGGGGGAACCTTTGAGACCATCCAGTCAATGCCCTCATTTAACAGGAAAGAAAATCTAAGTCCTAGACAGGGGAAGGCACTTGCTTGCTACAAAGGAACAAAGTAGCAGAACTGGTGTTCTTTGTCTTATATTATTATACTATGTATCAATGCCCCCCTCCTCACTCCAAGACCTCCAGTGACAGGGAGCTCACTACCTTCCTCAAAGAAATCTATTTGCCTCAGGGGACTATGAACTCCCAAAGCTGACTCCCCATCCCAGGAAGCAGATAAACCTAAATAAAGTCGGTCCTCTTCAGGCCCCTAACAACAGGGTTCACTTCCTGAATTAGCCTAATAAGGAATCCCTATCTGACCGCTGATTCACAGACAGGCAGGGCTGGCAGAGGCACAGGCCTGAGGAGATTTGTTCTATCTTGAGAGACCTGGAGATATGCCTCCATTTGACCCCCAGATCATCATCCTACTGCCAGGGACTGGGCCTGGTCATCTCACCAGCAGGACTAGCCACTGAGGATGTTACTGATGGAAGAAACAAAAGGCTTTTAGGTATAAATGTACTCCTGAGAGCTCTCCTCTTACTAAATAGCCAAAGATTGCAAACAGATCCAGGTGGATAACATTTGGGGAGCAGATGAACCCACTGTGGTTCCTCAATAGAATAGAGTGTTATCGTGCCATAAAAATGAGAGAGATAATAGAAAAAAAGGCTCGGGGGGATACAAATGAAGGGGTGCAAAGTGAAGAAAAGAGAAGTGAAATGTACACACAGCAGCCATGTAAACAGCAACAGAATCCAGAATACACAAAGGAAGAAGAATTTAGCAGGTGACAGATACACAAGCCAACAGGAAGCTCATCAGTATTTTATTAAAGTTAATAGACGTATTTTATAAAAATTCTAAATGGAGTTTGTTTTCACGTTTAATTCCTTAAAATCTTCTAATTTTCATCTGTGTCCTGTATCCGAATCGCTAAATTATTATGCTTAGAATAAATTAAAAAGCAAAAATAAATGTAGAAACCCCAACAAAATATTCCACTGACCTCACCCCTCTCTAATTCCCTCTGCAAACACTTCGAGGTCAATCTTTCTAAAATGCTGCTCTGAGGCCCCTGCTCAGAGGCCTCTGATAGCTCCCTACTGCCTACAGGAACAAGTCCAAAATCTGCAGTGCACACTGAGCCCCTCTCCCTTCTTAGTTCCCTTAGTCCTCACTGTCTGCACCCCACAAGTAAGCCCCTAATTTTATTGTTTTCAGTGTTCTCAGTTGTGCATTCCTGGCTTTGCTTCTACCCATCAGACTGAAAGCTGCCCTAAAGACTGGGTTTAGGCCTTTTGAGACTCTCTCACAGCACAGAGAAGCAAGTTTGGGATAGATTCCCAGAACTCTAAAAACTCATCTTTTCAAACAGGCAGTTGGCGGTACAGTGGATAGCGCTGGGCCTGGAATCAGGAAGTTTATTGTTGTTTAGTTGTGTCTAACTCTTCATGACCCTATCTGGGATTTTCTTTTTTTTTAATTTTTTTTAGGCAATTGGGGTTAAGTGACTGGCCCAGGTCACACAGCTGGTAAGTGTTTGAGGCCACATTTGAACTCTGGTCCTCCTGACTGCAAGGCTGGTGCTTTAACCACTGTACCACCTAGCTGCCCCAAGG